GTGGATAGGAAATAATGAAGATCAGAAACTGTCAATGTAGGGTTTATATGAAGATGCCTTAAATCGGGTCAAACCGTCTGCCTCTAGTTTCAATTTCTCGGTTGCCTTTATCTGAAGATTGTCATTGCTGGTTGCTGTCCATTGTTTCCCTTAATAAATGTAAGGGCACTGTGTGCGCTTGCTACGCCATCGACTCCTCTTTCCTTATTTTTTTTCCAGTTCTTTTCACTCACCCCGCTCTGTGTCTCCTAGTATACAAAGTGTCTTCTGGCTAAACTCAAACCGTTACGTCATAGCTCGGTCATTCGTCCTGATCGTAATAGATCTCTTTTCCCTAGATTCAATAAGTTGTTGCTTCGGCGAGCCGGAATTCATTTTTTAAAGATTCTTACACACTATAGGGCGAGTCAGCGCGGATGATGGTTAGGCGATCACATAAGCCACATAGATTCTACACGTCCTTTTGTGAGGTACCTCACAAAAACAATAAGTTTCGACCCAGTACGCGGATCATTAACCTCAAGTCTTGCCTTCACACATCAGTCCTATGATAGTTCAGTCCAGTGATCACACCCTCAACAGCGAACAGAGAGTGCTCGAGCGCTCTTTAGGTTCAGAGTATACAAAGTCAAATCTGACTTCATTCATGCCGTCGAAATATACGGCGCACGGGTATTTTGGCTGTTTAAGATTGTCGATCTATACGACGAAGAGGTATGTAACACTTCTGATGATGGTGGGTTCTCTAAGTTGCATGATTTAAATGAAGAACTTTCATTTTTATTCCTGACAATATCTTCGGTCCATAATTCATGTAGAAGTACGCTTTCCATATGCTTCATAAGTGTCATATCAGTTCACTTCTATGGCTCTATTTGTAGTTGGTAGTATTTGTAGGTTTTATGAACTTGATTTACCTTTGTTGGTTGGTCTCTGGCTTTGTAATTAACTAAACCCTTTCTGATGGCCCCAGGGATCGTCTGTATGCATTGAGATCTCAGATACCATAGGATATCAAGTCACTGCCAATATCTTCATTTGTGCATGTAGGGTATGTACTCATCGTCCAATGAAATGTTCACAAGTGGTGCAACTCATTTTATAAGCGATGCTACATTTGTCCTATTTTTGTTGTTTTCTGGTTTGCATGGAATGGAATGAAATGAAATGCTTGTATTACTCCATGGGTGATAGTGACTCTGAAATAGTTCGGGATCCTTGTGGTGATTGCTGAGGCAATTTTTTCATATTGCCAGGTGATCTGTTTTTGGGTATATGGGGTTGGTCTTTCGACGGTATTTTATTGAAGAAGCTCAGTCATACGGCAGACAAACTGGGGATGAGTTTCGTAAATTTTCTATAAAGCCAGTGTATAGAAGTGTATTTTTGCTCCTATGGACAGTGTTTCGACCCAACTCCTATTTTAGCTCAGTATTTATTACATATGCCTTGGTTTTCTGTATGCTTGTTCTTCAAAAGCTATCGTGTTTATATTTTTGATCAAACTGCACAAAAATAAGGTATCATTTCACGCTTTCAATTTTCCTGAGATTTTCATATCGTCTAAAATGATGTTGATTAGCTGATGATTTTTACTAATAATCGAACCAAGAAAATGGGTACTTCATGTAGAAGGCAAGATTATTACCCTTTGATGAGAAAAAATCGAAAACATTCAAACCCTGAACCCAATGATCGGTTTCGCTCAAAATATCGTTTCATCCTTCATGGAAAGGCAAGGAAGCCTAAAAGCTATTGATAAAAGAAAACTAACTATTTCTGAGATTCATTTTTTCAGTTGACTACAAAGCACCTAAATCTACTTCATGAAAATGAATGCCACTTTATATAAAGGATTGTCATTTGAAGTAATGGAGCACTTTTACAAATAGGTATATGAAAATCCAGACATACTGGCTTAAAGAGGTTATCAAAATACTTGGGCATATCAGTGTCAAAACTTTTTATATTCATACTTCTGAGACAACTCAAACAGATGTTTATAACACAGGAAACAGATTAGTATTTATAATAACCTCAAACCTGATAAGCTCTTATAGGTTGGGTTCTCGCTATTGCCGTATCGTTGTTAAAATGTTAAGCTTACCGCTTTAGCTACCCAGGGCCTTGAAACGCTTTGACTAGTTGTTTCAGACTTCATATTCTAGCTATATTAGACCTCATGAAAATGGATTGTAAACAAGTACCTTACCCATGCTCAATTAATCCTGTACATGATCTTAATATTGTCCAAGATGTGTCAACTGTGTTAGTACTTGGGCGTGTGGATTCCGCAGTGTATTTGACATGATATTACTATCTCGTTCAGAGAAAACTAGAGGAATGTAACTGCTTGACTCAGGCAATCTTTCGTTGAAGTTATACTATATAGTGACTCCGGCTCTGAACTTCCTAACCAGGCTTCAAGGATATTTTAATCTTGTGGATCGTTCAGAGAACATATGAAATCTCACCTAATATATTCATGCTTGAGAGCCTAAAGGGAAAATAACTCAGTTATAACCAGGCTACCACAAATACCATCTTTAGACAGTTAAACTCCAACTGCCGTGTATCAGCAAAGGTCTCGATTAGGTGTGATAAACATCAACGCCCAGTGATTCCTCTTAAAAGATAGAGATTCTTCCAGTATGACAAACAATTTGACTATGATTTGAGGCCAATTTGTAGGACCTATATTTACCGATCATCAAATAAAGAGAGACAAATTTTACAGGTATTGTTTGTAAGTATTTATTGCAAGTTGAGCCTGAGGTCATAATTTTAAGCACAAAAAATCTTTCAGTCACTAACGTTTTAATCTTATTAGAAGATTCTCAAATGACTCAAACGCTCAACTAAGAATGTTATAGTTTACCGACCCTAACTTCATTCAAAACTCTTCAATGACTAAAATGATAAAATTCGTTTCTGTTGAATGACGTGGGACCTTCTTTTAAGGGTTCCATATAGTGTTGAGAAGTCACTAACAAATACAAAAGATGGGACATTCCCGTATAATTATCACTATGATGTTTTAAAAACTACAAGGAAGTGCATGTGCGTCGGTAATTATGTGTACATGTTGTGTTTTATATATGTATATCACACTTCGAGTCAAGAGATAGACTGGCAGTATATCTTCTGGTATTTTTGATCATGTCGCACCTCAGCAGCATAGTGCGTGACGGATAAACGAAATTCAACAATCATATTTTCAAAATCTCTTATGTGATGATCCCAAAGCTAGCAAGATGGAAAGTCAAAGATGACGAGATGCAGAAGTACATTGAATTATAGGTTGATTCACCTTAGTGTACTAAATCGAGGCAGTTTTGTTGTTCTAGGAGGTGTGCAGCCCAGTGTACCAAAAATATGGCCCGGTGTGGATGCTTGGTCGGGCGTTCTCAGCCTGTTATTTGTTCGGTGAAACTAGAGTAATCAACGTCAGTGTCAATAATTTGCAGTGACTTATTCAGGAGATTTATTTGCCGTCATACCCTATCTTTTTGTAAACTGAGAGATGTCCCAATACAATAACCCATTATCTCAAATGAACACTTCTGTGGTAACATGGCTCATCGTTTCTTCATTTCTGGGGCTAATCCAGAACATTGGCGGGAAAATACTCTGGATATTGAAATAAGTCATTTCATTTATTGTCTCTACTACTAGACACAACCATCGTTGAAGATATACAAGTATTTATAAACAGTTGTCTCTTCAGGATACCCAATGCCCGTTGACCGGATATCATCGGCACCAACCTATTGTGGGAGAGGACAAACCAGGTTCCAGCTGCGGAACAAATTAAGAAAAAGCGCTGGAAATAATCTACATACATCACGAAGCATGCGCTAACTTAGAATCCTTAAGGGAAACGTAAAAGAGGGAGGCCGAAGAACACATTGCACTGAGAATTGGAAGCAGACGTCAAAATAGTGAACAGCAACTGGAACTGAAAGTGTTGCCCAGGACAGGGTTGGCTGAAGAAACCTGGTGATCGACACACGCTCCTACAGGAGGCATGACAGAAGTACGTAATGAAGATACACACTGATATCGGAGTTGCTATCAGTAAATGTTTGAAACCCAAGCACGACCAAGCGGTTGTCGCTAAATGCTTTTTCAGAACCCTTTAACCAAGACTTAATGTTTTGCCTTTTAAATGTCGAAATAATTGTTGCCTTATATATAGTGTTTGTTCATCTCACACTTCAGCAATCGACATGACCAACTATCCTCTGTCTCAAAAGTGTCACAAAAGATTCAAAGTACATCAACTAAGTTGATTCCTGGTATCACAAAGTGCTGTATGATGAAAGACTGGTTAAACTAAACCTATTTCCCTTGTCATATAAAGATAATAGAGGTGTCCTGATCACAATTTTTAAAATACTTAATGGTAATTTTCCATTTTTCCTATCTTCTAACACAGAGGATTCATGAGGGTACTTCAGGAAAATCAACAAGCCCAGAACCAATTACTTTTCAGCTGACTATTGACTCTCCAATCGAATGATTAAGCAGTAAAACTTTTTACGTTAACATGTGGTTCGAGTTCCATCTGATGATACGTTCGAAAGATGGGTAGATCAAAAGAACTAACAGTGGCTGATCAGCCTCCTATCCTTTTTAAACTGATAAGAAATTGAAGTCAATGCAATATTCACCAAGCTGCTGAAATTTCAACCTCCATCCAAGTAATTGTTATATTTTTCCAACAGTGCTAGCTCCTGTTCAGAAGTTTTCAGGGTTACTTGGTCACAGAATCTGATGAAAAAGCCTCTCCGTAGATTGGTTGGAGACCTGTCTAATGAAGATAAGAGAAAGGTGAAAACAAACATAGATAAAAACCAAACGAACAAACTAATCAGTATCATAATTTGGTCCAATACAACCTTGTTGTAGTAGACAAAATTTCCCCTGTTCATGAAGCCTCACCTGAAATTGTACTGTTCAATTCCACTATTGAATACCACATAGGTTGTTAGTACAAGTAAATTTTGAAGCGAAGTTTACACACGTTTTGGATGACGGCTGTTGAGAGTAGCCAACGTGTAAAAGAAGAAAAGGAAAAGGAGGAGGAGGAATTACGTCTACATCCACTTCAAGACTCGTAATAAGAAATTTCATTTTAGTTAGATGATTGTTTAGGTGGTGTTATTATTTGTTCCAGTTTAAAAAAGGACTCCTTTGGGATGCATGTCTAGAAAAAGTGGCAACTTTCAGCACTATTGAGCACTTCTGGAGTATACTCACTCATACAATTAGACCAAAAGAGATAACTAATGGCAGCGATTTATATATGTTCAAATCTGAAATTATGCCGAAATGGGAGGATCCGAAAAATGAAAATGGGGGACGTTGGCTAATCAATGTTTCTCCACGACAAGACGTTAATTTGTAATTCGGTTATTTTTTTTCCATTTTTCCCCGTGATGTCTTGTTATACTGCACATGAAGATCATGTTTCTATCGATGTTAGGTATTGGTTCATTGCAGTAATATAGTTTATTTCAGTTATCTAACGTTTTTCCTACTAACATTCTAGGTCGATGTGCTTCCCAGGTAACGCGTAGAACACAGGAAATTTTCCTATATAGACTTACCAATTTGTATGTGATTCCAGATAAATGATATACACCCAAGTCTCGACAAAATTTTCCCCTTCCTTATTGACCTCAGTTTTTCAACAGAATCCATATGAGCAAATGCCAGCCATTAGCTTATAGTCAACAAAAACAAAGTTCTCAACCATGCAGAGAAATGTCCCGGGCACTTGTTTCTGTCACTTGTGCTTACATACCCTGAGTAAGCACTCTCTACTAGTTGGTTTTACTAGCCCTCACACAACTGAGTTGTGACTCATAGCTGTGCACATTAAATCCATACTTGCCACCTGGGTAAATCACATTTGTATGAACTTAATTCACTAACCGTATGTGGCATCCAGCGCTGTATCCTCGAGTTTGGTTTTCACCTCATTGTGATTACTGCATTGTTTCCAAAAAGGAAGTTACTGTCACAATATTTGTTTTTCTTCACGAGGTTACCTGTTTTGAGTCAGTAATGTGCACCATATCGCTTTTCTGCTTATGTTTCTGATTGTGTTCAAATACTGTTGTCAATTTCGTTCTAAACATTAGTTTGCAAGTGACCTGATATTGGTAGTTTTTTAAGGATTAAGGCCAGAAATTTCTGCTCCTTTCTGACTGCGTCTTACATTGTTCTTCTCAACCAGATCTTTTGTTATTGCCAACATTTCTGCTTAACGATTAACAACTTGTATTCTTGTCTCTAGTTTTATTTTAACACATAGATATTGGTACAAGAAGACACCAAATACATATGCGCCACACAAATCTCATTTGATATGTACGAGGGCTGTGATACTGCCCGGGTGCCCAAACCGAAGCAGGTGGTTTTCTTAGGGGGTCACACCCGGAACCTTCGACCTAAAGGTCTGCCCCCAAATTCCCTGGTAAGGCTGAGAGTGGAAAGAGTCCGCTCTCCCTCTCAAAATGCTCTCACATTGCCACGCGTATATAGCCTCTGCCAAGGATGTCCTACTCATTGCCTTCTCGTGCTGGTGTGTTGTTCACGAATTTGAAAGGACGAAAAGCGAATGTCCAGGGTTTTAACTGGGTTGGTGGACACTGAGAATCCACCTAAGGGAGTTGAAAAACCCTGATTCCAAACCAGTGGTGCACATGGGCTCCAGTATCCTGAAGGAGCAAATGGCGTATGAACCAATCGTTGGTCACCGGCTACCATGGGACTGCATGTCCTTACGGTGCTCCACTGCCTTGTGTCTCTGTAGAGAGCGAGTCTATTTATTTATTTATTTATTTATTTGAACACATAAATATTGGTACAAGAGAGCGCCAATATATATGCGCCACACAAAACAATGGGAATTCGAAGAGAAGTAGAAAGAAAAAAAACTAAGGAACGCAAAAGAAAAAGAGAGTAATGACGAAGAGGTACAATCAGAAGAAATCTTTCAGGTAAAGGAGACAACCACCTTTTATGAAGAAAGTAAAAGAAGGTTACAGCAGGATCGCCACTGGCTTCTATTCTGAGCCATATCTGATAACGTCTCTACCCACTGTGTAGCACCATCTCTCAGACCCCAACCAAGGAGTCGTGAAGGACCGACACAAGCCAGTCCTTTGCAGCTTTCTTTCATGCCACGACACCATGTCATGCACTGACCACCTCTCCGCTTCTTCCAACCAGTCCCAGAGTCGGCAAATAATGCACGACGTGGAATTCTCTGGGACGACATTCGGAGAACATGTCCAAGCCACCGAAGTCGGTGTTTCAAGATGGTGACACCAATTGAGTTATCATCTCTGTGCCCGAACACACGATGCCGAACCTCTGCATTACTGACATGGTGTTGCCACTGAATGTCAGCAATCCTTCGGAGACAGCGATGATCGAACACAGTGAGTCGTCTAACGTCCTCAACTCGGAGAGGCCAGGTTTCACAAGCATAGAGCAAAACTGCTCTCACCGACGCGTTGTAGATCCGGCCTTTTGCAGCCAGACTAACATCACGAAGGCGCCAAAGGTGGCCCAGATTGGCATAAGCCGCTCTGGCTTTCGCTATTCGTGCATTGATCTCATCACTCACACCCCCACCAGCACTTATGCAGCTACCCAGATACACGAACTTCTCAACTACGTCTATCTGCCCACCGTCCAGGGTGAGTACAGGATTAGAATCCTGCCAGTCTTGTAGAAGTACTTTGCACTTCGAAGGTGTAAAGCACATACCATACCTACGGACATTGATTGCCAACTGATTAAGTGCGGATTGCATGCCTTGGGCATTATCGCACAGTAAGACAATATCGTCCGCATACTCAAGGTCGAGAAGTCTTTCTCCAGGCAACAGATCCACACCACCATTACTTACATTCATCAGAGCTGTTTCCAGAATGTCATCGATGGCAAAGTTGAAGAGGAATGGTGAGATTGGGCAACCCTGCCTAACCCCACTGCTCGAATGGAACAATGGAGAGAGGTGGTTGTATGCCCTCACTCTGCCTGAGGTGTTTTTATACAGGGCTTTTAGGATGTTAATAAACTTCTCAGGCACACCCTTCTTCAATAGACAATCCCAGAGAACAGTCCTATCCAACGAATCGAACGCAGCCCTGATGTCAAGAAACACTACGATTGTTGGCCTTTGAAAAGTATGGCGGTGTTCTAACATTTGGCGGAGGGTGAAGATATGATCAATACATCCTCGACCAGAACGAAACCCAGCCTGCTCCTCGCGAGTCAATCTTTCTCGGGTTTTGAACAACCTACGAAGTATGACGGAAGCCAATAGCTTGGACGCAATCGGAAGTAAACTTATCCCCCGGTAGTTGTTACAGGAACGACGTGAACCCTTTTTAAAGATAGGGACAACTATCGACTCATTCCATGACGTTGGCACACTCTCTAGTTCCCAAACCTTTGTGAACAACGTCGTCAATTCCTTAGTCAAAAAGTCACCACCATCTTTAAAAAGAGCCGGAGGTAAGTCATCTGGGCCAGGTGATTTGTAACGCTTCAAGAGTTGGAGTTCCTTGCGGACTTCCTCCTCATTTGGTGGATCAGTCGTCACCGGCCATGGAGGGCAGGACAGTCTGACCGATGTTGCCGGAGCAGCAGGCCAGTTGAACTGCCCTTCGAAAAATTCTGCCCATCGTCCAAGACGTCGATGGATGTTAGTGATTGGCATCCCATCATCCTCGCAGATTGTTTCACTCACACCAGACTTCTTGCTGCCAGTGGCTCGGATGAGTTGGAAGAGCTTCCGGTAGTTGCCAGATGCAGCTGCTGCTTCCAGCTCATTAGCATGCATCGACCACCAGGCTTCTCGGTCCTTACGCAAGCTTTGCCCGATTTCCTTACGTAAAATCCTTCGTTTATGGTCAAACTCACGGTTACCCGGAGTAGACCGACGGGCTTCAATGAGTTGTAAGGAACCAGAAGAAACCCAGTGCTTAAAAGCGGGACGTTTCGCAAACCCACAACTGACTGTTCCCGCCATTTTCATGGCGTCATGCAATTGCAACCAATGCTCATCTATACTTTTCGGTGGAGTGGTAGCTAGCCTAGAGGCTAGCTCGGTTCGATACTTATTTGCAACAGAAGTTGCAACCAGCTTGCTAACATCAATCCGTTGATGGCGTTCACTTCGTTGTCCACTGAAAAGTAAGGCAAGATTGGCGCAGACCAAGGCATGGTCAGAGTCCAGATAGGTACTCCAAAAGGAGCGGCAGTCTTGTACACAACCACGCCAGCGGTAGCTGATCGCGATGTGATCAATCTGAGTCCAGGCTTGAGATGCAGAGGGAGGACGCCAGGTGGCACATCGGCGATGACTGTGCCGAAAGTTAGTGCTAGCCAGAAACAGGTTGTGGTCTGTGCAAAGTTGCAGTAGACGGTCCCCGTTATCTGACCTGCGACCAACGAGTCCCCATCGGCCACCTAAACGACTCTCTTCTGTGCCTAGACGCTCGACCTGAGCATTCAAGTCTCCGGCTAGTACTACAATATCTGTCGAACGCACTTTCTGGAGAAGAACAGATAACTGGTGGTAAAACTCATCCTTGATTGCATCCGGGCTGCAATCTGTCGGGGCATAGGCGGAGATGACGAAAAGACATCGTTTCTCACGCCGATTTCTTCTCACTTTGATGGAACTTTCTAATCTAACAGCACATAACCGACTGTTAATGGGGATCCAATCGACTAGTGCTGCCTCAGCTCTAGCGCTTAGTGCGACACCAACGCCAGCAAGACCAGACGAAGATGCCACAGGGTCCCCGGATAAGCGCACGTAAAACAAGCTTTTTGAAGTGACAGATGTAGAGCGAATTTGTAGTACTTCGCTAGAGTCTTGAATACGGGTCTCGGATAGACAACAAACATCAATATTAAGACTTTCCAAAGACATAGCCAGCCCTATCTGTTGACCAACCTGCATAAGTGTGCGAACGTTGAAGGCAGCCAGTTTGAATGGCGCACGTGGTTTCAGAAAAACTGCTTCAGTACTCATATTCGATGGTAACATACAACTTTCAACCGGACAGTGACTCGAGAACGTTTAGATACAGTCGAATTTCCACCAAAGCCGAGCCGCTGTATAAGTATGAAAGAGGGTGAATAATGTGGGAAATATTAATAATAATTATAACGACAATAATAGTAATAATAATAGTATCAATAATGACAATAATAGTAATGATAATTATTTGAATCGATTGATTGTTTTTGTTTTTCGGAGCTATAAAAGTAGTTGCCAAAGACATAGAGTTCATCGTTTGTGTGTGGGCTGTGATACTGCCCGGGTGCCCAAACCGAAGCAGGTGGTTTTCTTAGGGGGCCACCCCCCGAGCCTTTGACCTAAAGGTCTAACCCACAAGGCAGTGGAGCATCGTAAGGAGATGCAGTCCCATGGTAGCCGGTGACCAACGATTGGTTCATACGCCATTTGTTCCCGCAGGATACTGGAGCCCATGTGCACCATTGATTTGGAATCCGGTTAAAGCGCCGGACATTCGCTTTTCGTCCTCTCAATTTCGTAAACAACACCCCTGCCAAGAGAAGGCAATGAGTAGGACTTCCCTGGCAGAGGCTGTATACGCGTGGCCTTGTGAGAGTATTTCGAGAGGGAGAGCGGACTCTCCCCACTCTCGGCCGTACCAGAGCGAGTCTCATCCTACCTAATCAACCAGCAGCGTTGGACCTATCATAATTGTACATCATTTCGAGTCGAAAATTTCGCAGGCGATGCTCGGAAATATGGCATATTGCCTAGTCGTCAGTTTCACTATTTGGCGCTAAGTTTTCACGTAATCATTTCCTAGTCACTGACAGTTACTGCGTGTACGGTTCATTTCAGGAACCTTGGTTTTTTTAAGACAAATCTGGTCAATATTTTCCACGGAAATTAGTGCGATAAAAATTATTTTGAGTCGGTAGATGCATATTGAGCAATGCGATTGCAGACACCTTGTGAACACATATGTAAGTCACTGAACTTATCAAATTATCAAATCTTCGGATTGTCCCATGGTTGTTAAAACCGATATATTTGTCGAGGTTGTTTTCTGTGGGTCGGCAAAATACTAGGTTAGGTTTGCTAGGAGTAAAGTCCTCTAATTATGAATCTGTAAGCACTTCTTTCTTTGGCTCCCTTTTACAATTGTTGATAAGTGTTATTCGTGGTCTTAATATGTGCACCCAACTCTAGGTCACGTCTTTTTGTTTGGGTCTTTTTCTTTTCCCTTGAGGATTCCAAGTCATGGTTTGCCTTGTGATGTGGTTTGATGGTTTCCACAAAATGTGTCCTCCTTAATTCCCTCCTCAAGTGACAGCCAGTTGGTTTTCTACCACAGTATGTTTTTGCAGCTGGTCTCTGGCAGAAAGGTTTTGCGTAGGCATCTGTTAATAAATTCCTGTGTTTTCTGATGATGGTGATGGTTCTTCAGATTCCAGCTCCATACAATGAAAATTTTAAGCTAGTTCTAAAAATTCCGACTTTAGTCTTAGGCGAAAGCTTTTTCGAGTTCCAGATGTTATTGACCTATAGAAAAGCTACTTTTGCGCTACCAACCCTCGCTTTAACATCTGTGTGAAATCCATCTTCATCGATGATGGTGCCCAGGCAAGTAAAACTCTCCACCTCTTCATGAGCTGTGTTGTATTTCAGGATCTTGCTTTTTTACTTCTGACTTTTCAAGTCTATTTCTTCGAAAGCCTCTAGTTGTCTTCGTCTGCATATGTTGCTGCGCATACCTGGCACTGATCTTTACTGCAAGCTGCCAACCATGTTCGACCTTGCACTTCAGTCCCTTGTGGGAGTTTCGTATGTTGGTAATCTCAGATACTTCATACTATTGACAAAGATTTCAGTGCTTTTTTATCCTACCTACTGAATGCTTTTTCATAATCAAGGGAGTTGACGTATAGTGATAAGTTACATTCAAACAGTTCTTCAAAAATGATCCACAGTGTCGCAATCAATTCTTACGAAAGCCAATCTGTTTGTCACTAAGTTAAAAGTCTACTGGGTCTTTCATTAGGTTCAGCAACACTTGAAAACTGCCTGATATAAACAAGTGTAATGCATCTCTAGTTTTCACACTCACTCGTCTTTCATCGGTATCTTGAAGAGGTATCCCCTTTGCCTGTCTGTTGGCACTTGTTTTTTCCCTCTCAAATCTATATGAAGAGAACGTGGGTTATCTTTGGAACCGCCGCGACGTATGGCTTCAATACCTCAGCCGGTATGCTCTCTGGTCCTGTTGCTTTGCTATCCCAGATTTTTCAGATGGCGTTGTTAATTTCCATTGTTGGTGCATTTTACAGAGTTTTGTTTTCAGGAAAAATTACCTTTTCGTTTACATTTTGACAATTTTTGCATAGAATGTTTATATCTTCCATTCCAGCTTATGGGATGAATTGTTGATGCTTCTGATCGGTTCCGACTGGGATACAGATGAAGAGGATAAACAGATATGTGGAGCAGTGTTCCAACCACGGGCTCGGGGTAGCAAGCTTTCAGTTTGGCTGACTAGTGACAATGAAGAAGAGACTATCGTAAGAATTGGGAAGCGAATTAAAGAGCGTTTAGAATTAGAAGATACAATATATTTTCAACCTGTTTCTGATCAACGATCGCAGACTAGAGGCAGGGATATTTGTACTGGAAAATATGAAATTTAGTTCTATGTTATTGCACTAACATTTGTTTTGCATTCCTTATACTTCTCTTAGCCGAATAAGGAGATTTTGTACATGTTTTCTTCAATCTCTCATTTTTCCATCGTTTTAATCTTAATAGAGGCATTTATTGCTATCCAATAAAAGATTGTTTTATAGATCACAAGATTATGTTCCAGCCTTGTTTCCATAATTCCTTTCCGGATTAAGGGTATTGTTCTTACCGTTTTGTTAATTAGCTATCCTAAAGATAAACAAACTATGTAGAATATGCCAATTTTGTCATTTCGAGAAGCAGTTATATGAGTAATATTCCCGAAGTTAGTAAAATTCTTTGGAATACGATTTGACTTTCCTTAGTATGTGGGTAAGTGTTCAGTTCTATCAATACATAGTCGTGTTATACTGAAAGTTGTCTATTTTGTTCAATATTAGATTTGTTACACATTGTGGAAACCATAGGCGCTTTACTTTATTAAGTGTCCTGGCCCCATTATGTTTATTAACATGAGCTTTATGTATATTCTGTCTTAAACCATATTTAAATGGTACATTTACTCGTTCAGACTTGATAATTTCCTGTTTGCCATGAATTGGATATTTAGTGAGTTATTACACATCCAGTTTCTGAATAGCTTTCCCTAATTTAATTACATCACACAACATGGAGACCACTAAAAGACAAGGTTTATGGAGATTAATGATATTTTGCTGATGCAAATTATAAAGGAATAAAGTGCAGTACTTTTCAGACACTTAGCTAACGTCTAGTGGTATTTTCTTGATTGGAATATCAGAATTAGATCAATCAACTGCTGTGGGAATTTCCCAGCAACTGGTGCTCTTTTATTTATTCGAACTATATTCACTTGGATTGTGAAACATGTATATGTTTTAAAAGTTTAACAACAATTTAGTATTGTTTATAGAAGGATTCGATGTAAGAAACGTTCTTTACCTTGAAGGCACTCAGTGGGATTATCATTAGAGATGCCTTCACAAAGATATCTTGACTTCACTGCTGTATATTTTAGTGATTTATAAATTTTGTCGGAACATTAACGTTCGAAGGTGTGTAACTTCGGGGCATACCATTCTTCATTCTTTGCACTTGGAGGTCCTGGTCACGAAAGTTGGATTTCAAAGTAATCTAGTTCAAGGATGGTCTTTGCCATTACCGGAACCAACGGAAAGTGAACTCATTAAATTATTTGTAATATATGACCACCTAAGTATGCTCATTCGCAACCCTACACGGGGTTAGACCCAGGAGCGGGTTTATTGAGTAGCATTTTACCATTTAGCAACCAAACTTGAATTCACTGCTTCTGATTCGGATAAACAAAAAATATGTACATGAATTGCATTTTCAGTGAACATCAACTCCGAGGTACAGATGCTTCCAGTTGACGAGTCCCGAGTAAGGCCAGGCGCACGTACTGGATTACATTGCTAGCCACTATCCATCTTGCCCCCAAATGCCCTGGTATTGCCGAGAGTGGGATGGACCCACCCTCCCCCTCGGAATGCTCTCACACGGCCATGCGTATACAACCTCTGCCAGGGAAGTCCTACTCACTGCCTTCTCGTGGCAGGGGTGTTGTTTACGAAATTGAGAGGACGAAAAGCGAATGTCCGGCGCTTTAACCGGACTCCAAATCAATGGTGCACATGGGCTCCAGTATCCTGCGGGACAAAATGGTGTATGAACCAATCGTTGGTCACCGGCTTCCATGGGACTGCATCTCCTCACGATGCTCCACTGCCTTGTGGATCAAACTTTTAGGTCAAAGGGCATACAACCACATTTCTCCATTGTTCCATTTAAGCAGTGGGGTTAGGCAGGGTTACCCAATCTCGCCATTCCTCTTCAACTTTGCCGTCGTGTTCGTGTATCTAGGTAGCTGCATAAGTGCTGGTGGTGGCGTGAGTGATAAGATCAATTCACGTATAGTGAAAGCCAGAGCGGCTTATGCCAATCTGGGCCACCTTTGGCGCCTTCGTGATGTCAGTCTTGCTGTAAAAGGTGGGATCTACAACGCATCGGTTAGAGCAGTTTTGCTCTATGCTTGTGAAACCTGGCCTCTCCGAGTTGAGTATGTTAGGCGACTCACTGTGTTTGATCATCGTTGTCTCTGAAGGGTTGTTGACATCCCATGGCAACACCAAGTTAGTAATGCAGAGGTTCGGTATCGTGTGTTCGGGCGCAGAGACGATAATGCAATTGGTGTCACCATCTTGAAACACCGACTTCGGTGGCTTGGAAATGTTCTACGAATGTCGTCCCAGAGAATTCCTCGTCGTGCATTATTTGCCGACTGGTTGGAAGAAGCGGAGAGGTGGTCAGTGCATGACATGGTGTCGTGGCATGAAAGAAAGCTGTAAAGGATTGGCTTGTGTTGGTCCTTCACGACTCCCTGGTTGGGGTCTGAGAGATGGTGCTACACAGTGGGTAGAGACGTTATCAGATATGGCTCAGAATAGAAGCCAGTGGCGATCCCGTTTTAACCTTCTTTTACTTTTTTCATGAAATGTGGTTGTATCTTCGTTAACTGAAAGATTTCTTCAGATTATTATTATTATTATTGTTATTATTATTATTATTATTATTATTATTATTATTATTATTATTATTATTATTATTATTATTATTATTATTATTATTATTATTATTATTATTATTATTATTATTATTATTATTATTATTATTATTATTATTATTATTATTATTATTATTATTATTATTATTATTATTATTATTATTATTATTATTATTATTATTATTATTATTATTATTATTATTATTATTACGCTGCCTGACACTAATCTGTGGTCGTTATTGTTTATCCTCCTTTCTTATACGCTCCTTACCTTTTTTTCTCTTCCCATTCTCATTGTTTTTTGTGGCGCATATATATTTGGTGCCCCCTTGTACCAATATTTATGTGTGCAAATAAATAAATAAAAAGACATTAAACCACGTCAATTATTTACACAATCCGACGCTGCTCTCCGAGATATTTCTCCATTAGTTTCCATACTACTGATAGCTGGCAAGTAGTGCAGTGTAGTTTCATTAGGCTGACCTCAGTAGTCGATATAACATTGATAGAAGTGACGTGTGTGCTAATATACCTACAAATTTTGGCGGGTATGAATCTGAGAAAAAATGGTGCTGTGTTTATTGGTTACTAGTTATTTACATCCCTAGAAGTTTAATCTATGTGATTATAATGTCAACCGTATTTATGGGATAATGAGGCTCGATGGTAGAAACAAAAACTAGTGGACAGTTACACAAGGTAAAAATAGCAGGGATATGATTAACTATAAGAGACAGCATGATCCTTGTTCGTTCACTCAGTAAAATCGAATGTGCAGTCAACTCTTTCTAAAAGCGGAAAATAATCAGACAAATGTACGTATGGAAAAGGTATCAGTGCAGTAAGTTTATGTTATGGTAAGGTTTAGTTGGCTAAAGCTGAACTAAAAATCATAGGGAAGGTTTATTCTTGTTGACTAGTTGATCATATCGCTTTTCGTAGATCTGTGAAGAGCTTTATCAATTGATGACCAATAGATGAATTCTGTAATCTTTGACATATAAAGCAGATTTCATTATTTTAAATCTTATAAAATTAATTTAGATACCAGAGAAATATAATAATTTGATAGCAGTTTACTAAACTTTGGAATTCATGCCAAAAAATCTTTTGCAATTAGATATGCTATAAAACTCGGAGTAACTGGCAACATGCTAATATCCTTACAGATTCAACTGTAACTTGATAAACAAATCCTTTAAGTAAAGAGGACGAATACTTCAATAATAATAGTGCTTATTATTATTAATGCTTATGATTCGAATTAATTCTGAGTAATAATTAAATCCATTATCGTTATTATCACTTTCATCCAACAGTACCATTTTAAACTAGTTCGTATATCATATGATATGGATGGTGGAATAATGCTTAACATTTGATTATTTTAGTACGTTTTCATCACTATTTATCAGATAGTATCCATATGCATTTATAATTGGAATAACTTTTTAAAATAATAATTTGGCAATGTATGTTAGCTGTTTAGTTTATTAGGAAAATGTAATTGTTTAGAGAGGATACTACATTGAAGGATGAGTCCAATTTGAAGTATATATATATAATAGAAAGTTTGTAAATGAAGCCTTTGAGTGATGTTTTAACTTTGATAGGCTAGTGATTGACCTATGACACATGTATTTTACAACCATTTCTGGTTCAAGCAACTTCTAATCATGCTAACCTTTCTGTTTAAATATATATAGGGAAGGTTTGTTCTAGATTGAGATTTTTACAAGCTGTATGCACCTATGAACTATAAATAGTTAATAAGAAATTGCATAAGGATAAAAGAAATTTTATCAAATGAAAAGGGCATACATTCTTATTATTATTTCAATAAAGACAAAGATTTATTATAGTTGTTTGTATTTCCTTGTTGAAATTACATTTTCACTATAAAGTAAAACTAATGTGATCATTTGATTTAATTAATAACTCGTCTAACATGTACAAGTGTATGTGTTCATTATTCTTGAATTATACTTGTAACGACCGAACTACCAGTATTCGGTTTGAACGCAGGACTGACGAACCAAAATTTATTCGAATAGGCCAGACTACGTTCTTCTGTATAGCTCACACACTCACATTAAATTTTATCAAAACACAAACTATGTGCTCAATTTAAACGGTTCTCAAACGGTACAGCCTGTGCTATGTAATCAGAAGTTTCTCTGACTCAAAGTAGTGTGCTGAGAGTCAATAAAATATTCCCAACAAGATGGGATCAAATATCTATCTGCAGGGATTCCAGCAATCCTCCCAAGCAGGCAGTCAAAAGGTTAACAGTCACACGCCATGACCTTGAGCTTAGTCAAATACGACCTTACTGTCAGTAGTCCGGCAACATCCAATAGAAAATTAGGTAACAAAAGATAAGCCTTTAATCAAAATCACATAATAAAGGCTCAGACGAGGAAGACTGGAGGACAAAAGGTGTGGTTAAACGAGATATGAACAAAGGTTATGATACACGACAGGGAGAAAAAACAGATAAATGACAGTACTGTTCAATAAAAAAGCTGCGGAGGGA